CCCGACCAAAAGAAGACCAGCCGAATACAGCGCTGTTTAATGCTTTTTGGTTATCATCAGTACGGTCTATGTCTCTAGGTACGACAGCAGACGAAAGTAGCGCAAAAGTACCCTCTATCTTAGCTATAGGGTATATCCATCTTCAGTACAAAAAAGCACCATCTATTACCAGAACTGATAACAGAATTTGCTAGGTTGGGGGTAATCAAACGGATTCGAAACAAGCATTTAGAAAGTCCTATAATAATAACTTACACTTCCTTATCAACGTCAATTTGTTCATTTAGAATACATATAACAACTCTCATAGCATTATATATCATGTATTATTCTTTTGATGGTGACGACTTCAGCCAAGTGGCATCCAAGAAAAATTCCGCTATGGCTTCCACATTGCCGAATTACGTTTCTGAAGATGATAACTGAGCATTTTAATTAGTCTAATTAAAAGTTAAAACTTCCTCACAACGTTTACTTTGAATTTTCAATTAAAGTCTAAATAAACTTCCAGCGCTTTTTGTGCTACTCCTGTATTCGTTAGCAGTGAGCATTTCAGGAAACAACAAGCACAGAAGGTTTAAAAGCTTAATGCGGGTCGCAAAATGTAGGTGTTGTGTGGCCGAAATGTTCCAACTATAGGAACAGAGAGGAAACGGGATAACATAGGAGTGGACTCTTTTCAGAGGACAGTAAGGTTGGGTCTGGATGTAGATGCAGCTTACGTGGATGTTTGAGAACAATTTCCAATAAAAGATGAGAAAATTCAGTACTTTTGAAATAACTAAGGTTTGGCAATGTCAATTCGTGACATTTTTCTAAACAGAATTAAAATTTATATTCATCTGTGCAAAAATCCAATATCGCGTATATAAGAAAAAATAAAGTTGATGATTGAGGACACGAGACGAAACGTCATATCAACGTTCTAATTATGTCATCATGTAGAGGAGAAAAAGTGGCACTGTTAATGAAAAAATTGAAACGGTTTTAGTAAAATTCGGTTTCTTTTGCCCATCTCCGGAAATTGACTTCGTATGTCTTTCCGTTTCAAAGATCCCAAGGGTGAGAGTCGAATTTGAAATACCTGACAGAATTTTTTTACACCGAAGCATCCGGGCAGGCAGATGCCTAAATGCCAAAGCTTAAAGAAACTTTGTTAGTCCGATTTTTGAACTAAAGGAGCAGAGGTTGCCAGTTTATGATGCACGAAGTTCGACACGGTTAGGATGGAAAGCCTAATTCAGGCGGGTCTATCTGGCAGGCACATCGCCCGGCGCCATCATGGAGGAGAGCTCCGAGGAGCAAAGCCGTTGGCGTAGCAGTAGGAGATAGCTAGATTGCGTGGATCGCTGGTGCCGGTAAGCATACTGCCTGTCGCTAATCAAGCCGTGGAAGTACTCCAGGTGCTCCCGAGTTATGCAACTCTCCCTACTTATAAGCGAAAGCAGAGCTGTACGCCTGTAGTTGTAAGGGTTGATCTAAGATCCTTTTTTGGGATGGAACGGTTTTTGTTCAGGTACTAAAAACTACTGTAATGCCAAATATCTGTGGAATGCTCTGAGAGATTTTCTCATTTCTTGCAGATTTCCAATGACTGATTTTATTTAGTTTGCACGCGCCTGGTGCTGCAACTCTTCCCGGTAAAGCGTTCCCGGTAAGGTATTCCCCGAAGAAAAACAAATAAAGCGACAGCTGGATATTTCCAGTCCCCGGGGAGCATTAACAAAATAGATGAAAATCGGAAGGCGAGTTGCAGGAAAACTTCCGAAAATATCGTCGGCAAAGAGAACTGCGTAAATAAGGGAACACCGCTTGGAAGTTTTGCTTACTAGCAATATATCTTGACGCTTCGGATTTATATGAGCTATATATCACTGCGAAATATCGGGGCTGTGAGTTGGGTCAGTTACCCTCTGACCCAGATGATATATGGATGTAGACTTTGCTGAACCACTGACTGAAAGTAGGATTCTATCCTTGAAACTGTCAGATTTCCTGAATCCAATCCTGCTCAGGACGCACACCCAAAGAATAACATCTGTTTTTTCTTTAGGGCAATTTCAGGTCACTACACTTCCTGATATATACAGGTAATAACAATAATAATAATTGTCGTCTTTATTTGGAAATACACAAACTGATTGCCGAAGTTTAGCATTCGCTACTCTTACACTTAACCAATCAGTTAGCGATTGGTAACACAATACAGAAATTTATGTACTATCTTAAGGGGAATAAACAGACAAGAACAAGATCAGAAAATGTGTAAATCAAGAATTACAATACATCATAAGATATAGAAATAATAGGATTAAGTGGATAGTGAATTTATAAACAGTTTAATTTTGTTGCGGAATGTAGACAAAGAATATGACTTATACACTTCAGGTATTGGATTATACCTGATAGCTAAATTATATGAAAAATTTCGCTTAAATAATGTTGTTTTGTCCGGTGGAACTCTTATAATTTTGTGTCTTATCGGTCTAGTGTGCACATCGTTACTAGAAACAATTTTTTCTCTAAGGTATAAAGGCTTTGACGTATGCAACAATTTATGTATGAAAATTAAATAGTGATAGTTTACTAAATTCTCAAATTTCATCCACTTCAATATTTGGTAATTGGCTGAAACTTGGTCAAATTTTCGTAATCAAAAAATGAACCGTACACAATTATGTTGAATGATTTGGATAACGTTTCATGTAAAGCAATCTAATGACGGAAAATAGACAATATAACAGTAATTTAAATATTATGGTTGAGGAAGTGCGAATATTTGTTAGTCAATTACGCCAAAATGGCTGAACGGATCTGGATGAAAATTGTTAGAGATTATGGCCTGGAATAGCACATAAGCCTAACTATACTTTTTATCCTAAAAGATAACTTTAAATTATCTATTTTGCGGCTACAGCCCAAACGGTTTGTTTATGGGTTGATGGCAAATTTTGAGTATGATTTGAAAAAATTATTGCTTTTTCGACATTAAGCCAGTTGGGTTAATTGGTAGCAATTTTAGCTTCAGGAAGCTATAAATTAGCTTTTTTCAATTATTATTATTAGCTTGATGCATTATTTAAAGTATTAACATTTATATCCACTGGTAATATCATTCATAATACAATTGCCAAAATATTCGTTGTTGAAATTAATGCCTTTAACTTGTGTTTTTTCAATTCTTCTAAGTGTTCTTTATGTGATTTACCTTTTTTATCAGGGTTTTATTCTAAAGGTTCAATTGTGGGATTTATATAAATTAATTATTTAACTATTTATATTTATATAATTTTTTACATTTCAATTGGGTTAACCGTTAGATATAATGTTCGTTTAATATATTGAACATTAGTTGGAGATTTCAATTTTGTATATTCACATGGTATTAGAGAATCTCGGTATTCAATAATAAGCATTAGTTGGAGATTCTAATTTTGTATATTTACATGATATTAGAGGGTCTCGGTATTTAATATTAATAGGTATAAGAGGTTTAATTTTATTTGTAGCTTTTAGAAGAAGAATATCAAGTTGGGTAATACTTTTTAAGCCTATTTTTATTTGTTTACCTTTTCTGATAAAAATGATAACTTTGTTAATAACTGTTAGAGGGATATGCACTGGGTATGAATTAATTTTTATGAAGAATTGAATATTTAATTGTTACATATTGTTTAGTTATAATATGAAATGTGCCAGCCACTTCTACTTAACAAGTAAAGGTTCATCACTTAATTTAGAAAAAAATCCATACGAAAATGTTTGATCAAGGTTGATTTGAATATTATGGCGGTGAAAAGTTGAAGATATTAAGCGATTATTCTAATTTTACCCAAATTTTGTATTCAAATCATTTAAAAGTATATTTTGTATTAATTTTGTAGTCTTTTCATATTTAAGTAGCTTATATTTATAGCGTAGTATTGGAGATACTAAGTGAATATTTGTAATCAAAATATTCCAAGTTTACAATGAACATGTAGTGTTTTATATAAACTGTACAAATCAAAATATAAACGAAATTTCATCGCCTAAAGATTGGCTTAGAATCTTACCCTTGAATCTCATATTTCAGTAATTGGAGGAAATACTCAATTTTATCATTAATAAATAAATAAATTAAAAATAGCGACATATAAATATAAATTTTTAGGTCGGAACTAAATGCAATCTTTTCTTCTTATTTCAAAAGATAAATTGAAAACTTCAGGACTTTTTAAATCTCACTTAAATGTTGTAATTTACTATTATCCTAATAATTTCTAGGATGGGGATGATAGTTAGGCGGAAAGTAATTTCGACATCCAAGATTGAAAAATAAAAGCATTTAAAAAACCACTTATTTTTTTATTTCTCTATTGGTTTGTTCGTACAGTGGTCGGTGACTTGTCGGAGGCTGTGACTGGCATCCGGTCGTGTGAATTCCATCTATTCAATTCAATGTATTTAATTATGCAACGAGTTTTTTATGCCTCCGACCATTTGCCGGTCATAACAATTTAACTAAATTACCGGTTAGTAAACCTTCCCGACGATCCCTATGCTAGCTCGCCAAGCCCAGTAGTAATAAATGTACGTGGGCTAGCAGAGTGAATTCACTCTATTATTTAGGTGGCGGGGAAAATAAATGGCTACCGTGGCAGTGTGTGTTGTCGGTGGAAAAAACGCCACTCTGCCGGCAAGAAAAAACCCACCGAGCGAACTTTACGGCTTTTTAGCGCGGAGCCACGGTGCGGCGGTCCGGCGTTTCTACTTCCGGGGTGCGATGCTACTTTCCGGACCGGACTTGACCCGATACCCGCACGCTAACCACACAGAATACAAAGTTTGCAGCTGTAGTTGCGTAATGATAAAATAAAAAAGTTTGTGATCAAGTACACCAGATAACGTCCTTGGTTTAAAAAGTTAATACTGTTAATAAAGTTTATTTTATCTGACATCCAACAGGCATTTGAAGCTGGAAAATCTACAATATCAGCATTTCATTTTTTTGGAATCAGTAGCTGCTTTGACGGTGCCAAATTTGCCTGACGAGGGCGGTCCGGTAAGTACTTAGATTGCAAAAGAAAAATTAATATTTGACAGTAGCTACGAGAATGTACTACAAGATAGTAAATATCTGCTATAATGACGCGATCGGGCTGCGCTGCTAAGTTCTTATCGGACTGCACTCGTATATGCTGACGACACATCCGTTGTGCTATCAAATTCCGGTGACGAGATTCTAACCAGTAGATGTAACACTTTGATAGACGTTTTAGACGATTGGTTCGCCGAACATCAACTATTTCTAAATTCGGATAAAACAACAATATTACGGTTCCACAATCCGCAGAAGAAACTAATAATGTAGAGTTTTTGGGAATTTATCTAGATGTAGGTGACAATTTTAAAGCACAGGATGATTATGTATTGTGTTATTTGCTAGCTAAAGCTAACTGCACAGGCTTTTGTAATAAGAAATGCAAGGACTGTACTAACACATGCTCAACTGATAGCGATATACCATGCTCAGGTAGAATCCGGGCAGCGGTATGTCTTATGCTTTAGAGGTAGCTCACCTTACGCCTTGTTTGCCAGAAGAGGGTATTGAAGCAAGTCGTACTCACTGCTGCAAAGAGCTTTTTGAAAAGTATGGGCTACTAACATTGAAAGCTCAAATTGATTGTGAATAATGAGTTACATAATTTTGGTACAAGGCAAAGGGAATAGTTGAATGTTCCATATGCTAAATATACCAAGTATATTGGGCCCCAAGATTTTTATTAAAAAAAGCCAAATAGATTTAAAATAAATTTAAATATCTTTCTTCAAGGAAAGTGCTACTACTGTGTCACTGACTTTGTTATACTGTAAGTGTTAATTTATTCTTGTATACAGTTTTTTCTCCGGATTATTATTTGAAGCGCCAGAAGCGTAGTTGAACAAGCATGTACAGTAAATTCTTATCATACACACATATTCTCAAAACATACACCGCCTGGGAACGGGAATGTCTACCCCAGGCGGCCCTAACCAACGCTGGTTTTACGTAGTGCTATCTGAAAATTTGGAATGATGTCGCGCAATCTCAGCATGTTACGGGACTTTCAGCCTATTGTAGCAACACAGAGTATAGGCATGTAATAATGAACATAAAAAAACAAACGATCTCCTGTAAGACAGATAAACAGTAGTTATTTACCTAACAAGTGAGGAGAGTGATACTTTTCTTCAGGCGACGGGAGTTGCACGAATAACGCGAAGGTATAAGATTTTTTCTAACAGAATTTTAAATACATGCTATGTTTTGTTGGAAATTTCATAATTGTAAAATCAACACACGCTGGTAGAAAGAATATATTGTTCTTGTACTGAAAAAGATCACTTTTGTGATTAAAACGTTTCCAGTAAAGAAGATTCCGTCATCAAATGACAGACAAGCATGGGAGACTTTATTCCTCCTACCACTTGTACTTACCCTGATGCGAACATTGTTTCTGATTCTGGCATTGGGCTCGAACTCCCCAAGGAAATATCATGAGGATCCAATGACAAACAATTTCCTCTCGGGATGTATGGAGAGAAAACTTTCCAGAAGTCAGACTGGAGGGTATCTCGGCGCGAAGGGACAAAATTAACGCCAGCCAGGCGAAAAGTGAGAATACTTCCAAAAGCCGAGCCGTAAGAATGAAACGCTCTTTTCCGATTTCCTGAAGTGTGAATGAATAGGTGGAAAACATCTAAGGGGTGTCCCAGCAGGTACTTCGGGATTTAATGGAAGATGGGCAATAATACTGATACCTGAGCTATTACAATAAATTACATATCATTTAAAAGGTCTTATATTTAATTCAGATATTCAAACATATATCCTTACTTTGGGTTGCTCACCCCCACGTTCACCACCCCCCATCAGATTACTTTTAGATAGATGAACCGATTTTTATCTGAGAGCCATATGAAAATATTCGCTTTCTGTGTTCGTTAAAAAAGTTAAACTTCTGCTCATTTCATCAACCGTTGAAGGCAACATGAATTATTTTCATATACAAGGTGGCGCATCGAAAACGAAACAGACGCATTTACTTGCAGCTCAGTTTCTTTTTTGAAAAATGCTCAGGCCCGTCGATTTTGTTTTCGAGGGGGACACAAGTTTGGCAAAAAATCACGTTAGCACGTGAAGCCCCCTGAGCGGGGGTGACACCACCCCCAAAATCTTAAATGGAAAGGGGGGTCGAGTGATACCTTATTTTAAAGGTATTTCAATTCCCTTTATAATGATATAAAATTAATGTACTTCAGTTCAGTGGTTTTGAAGATTTATTGATTTAAAGCTTAAATAAAACTAGTACATCATCATTAGTGGAGATCAATACATTTGGCAGCAAAGTAATTTAAAAATGAAGAATGAACTGACCCGTTAGGCAAGTAAATGTTGAAAATGGCCTCCATGACTCTCCATGCAATAATAAAGATTTTGCTCAAAACGTTGCCGCACATTTTGCAATATTTGAGGAGTAATTTGAAGGCACTCCACAATTCTTTGTCGTAGGTCTTCTAATGATGTTGGCTGAGTAGCATAGATTTTGCTTTTTGAATGACCCCACATAAAGAAATCCAAAGGTAATAAATCTGGCGATCTTGGGTCCATTCAATGGCACCTCTTCTACCAATCCATCGATCTGGAAACGTCTGATCTCTCTTGTCGAACACGCAATGCGTAATGTGGTGGGGCACCATCCTGTTGGAACATCAACCAATTTGCAATGTACCCCCGATCGTTCTGATTTTCAATTATGGCTGTTAATGCAGGATCTATGGCGTCTTCCAGTAATTCTAAATACATTTCACCGGTCAAATTTCTAGGTAGGAAAAAGGGCCAACTAAATGATCGCCAAAAATACCAGCCCAAACATTTAATTTTTGTGGCTGCTGTGTATGAACCTCATGATAAATTCTGGGATTAGAATCGGACCAATATCGGCAGTTATGACGATTAACTACGCCATTTAAGAAAAAGGAACATTCGTCGGAAAAGCAAGTGTTGAATAGAAAATGTTCATCGTTTATAATTCGTTCACTCATATCTTCACAAAATTATAATCGCCGATAAAAATCGTCTTCATTACGTTCTTGCACCAGGTGAATATTTTGACGGAGGAAAACTATGGGCCTTTAGAATCCAGACAGTACGTCGACTTACACCACACACAGTCTCCAATTTGCGGGTAGTTAACCTAGGATCTACATAAACTTGCCCTAAAACCCCCACTTCTATTGCTTCGTTCCTTATGGGATTTTCAATGTTGCGTTTTTTATTGGCGACTGACTCAGTTTCCCGAAATTTAGCTACAAGTTATAGAACATATTTTCGATGCACGTTACTGTTCTCATATCGCTCATTAAATATTTCTGCCGTTCTATTAGCGCACTGATTATTTCCGAAAAATATTTCGATAATTTCAACTCTTTCTGCTGTGTAATATACCATGGTTAATTTATGTAATAAAGCGTTACAAGTTATTTTAGCAACAAAGTTTGGTCAAGTCAATCGCAAACTATGTACTTAATTCCTATTTAAAATAAGTACGAGATATTTCCTTATCTTTCTTCAAGAAGTAACTTTTTTGCCACAAAAAACGCTCCAACGCTTCAACAACAAAGTGATAAACATATTAAGTAAATTCTTTTAGTCAAATTTCTTCTGAAAGTAGTACAAACTAATCTAAAGTCTACTTTATGCGCCACCCTATATCACTGCAGCTCTTTTTTTAATAACCATTAATGTGCGATTTTTTTCTGTATTGCTAATGTACCACTTAACGCTAGTTGCGGACTGATTGGTTAAGTGTAAGAGTACCAAATGCTAGACTTCGCCAATCAGTCTATTACTTTCGATTGAAAAAACACCCAAGCCCATACATCTGTCTGAGAGTTTATGCGTCAAGGGTTAAAAGTCATACAGAAAAATGAGTCCTACTTTAAACGACTTGACAGACTTTCATTGAAAGAGCGATTTAGTAGTCTACAACTCAAAGGGCACATTCGAATAATTTCGGATACTCATACTCATCCTTCTCATAATTTTTAACGGTTATAAGGTTTTTGAAAATTTTAGTGGTAGAATCTGTGAAAACACCTGATATGGGCATTTGAATTACTTAAAAAACATAACATTGACTATTTTAGAATTCTGAAGCAATCCCTTATGCCTCATTATTGGTATACGAAAACACGAGCTCTGATTTCTGATTTTTTTACTGTACTAACCACGAAAGCAGAACTTTAATACAAAGGCACAGGAGCTGATATGATGCAATTTCAGCTAATCTTTTTGGTCTGAACTGTCTTATGTTAGTAGAACTTAGGCAAGCCTGCCACATCTCGATGCACAACAGAGCTCAGTTCGATTTTTGAGTGCAGAATACTGGCAGGTTCGCTTAGTAGGCCCACTGCCACCATTTTTTTAACCCCAGGCAGTCGCGCAGGCAGAAGCCTAAATGCCAGGATACCGCGGCTGCTATGAGCACCCCAAAGAAACTTTGTTAATCCGACTTTTCAACTACTTAAGGTTCGTAGAACTGGGAAAAGCCTCCTCTTCTAGATTGTTCCACAATATCGACACCCTAAGGACCCTAAGGATGGGTAGCGGAAATCAGACGGGTCTGTCTGGCAGGCACATCGCGTGGCGGCATCATCGAGGAGCAAAGCCAATTGGTCTAGCTGTAGAAGGGAGCTAGTTCGCCGATGGCCCGACGGTGCGAAAGGGTCTCGAGACTGTCTGTTAAAGAAGAGCCATCGATCAGTCTTGACAGCCCTCGTCTGAACAGCATCGAACATGGATAATCAGTCGGGGTGGCAGCACCCCAAACATGTGAGCAGTACTCGAAGCTAGGTCTACAAATAGTTCGTCACAGCTTGATACATTCACTGAAAATGCAGAAAGCCCTTATTCCGTCGGCCTACACTGAATGACTGTAACCGTTCTATGAACGGATAGCTGTCGCTACCATCATTGAAATGACTACCCGTCAAGGCTCAAGGCTACTAGCAATGGAGCACTGAATCTGTTTGATTTTAGTTCCTGTAACCATTACCAACCGCATACAACCTTGTTTCATACTTTTCAGCAATCGTCAGTTCGGTAAAAGTCCAGTCTTGTAGAGCCTGACAAGCAGTAAGCCAACAAGCGGGTATAGTCTACTGAAGAACTCATTATGTCGTGCGCAAAAATCTGACAACACTGACAATTCCCACCTAGAAATAGTTCGTGCAAAGCTTTCGTGGAGTTTGTATAGATCTTGATTTTTCTAGGTGTAGTAGTCAACGAATTCAGAATAGGTATAAGAAGCTACTCAAGAATTTGTTTGTCGACTAATACTCATATTCTAGTATTGATGATCAAAGTCACGTGTTATAAGTCAATTTTTTTACAGTTTTGTCAATAAATTCGTGAATTTAGTGTTGTTTTTGAGAAGTGCAGATAATTCGTCGCTGGAAAGACAAAGTGGCGTAACTCCAATTTAGCTATTTTACAGAAGACGCGATAT